AAAGGAAACGTCACTGGAAAACGCTTGGCTCGAATGAACCAAAAGCAAAATCCCACGGTGACCTGTGGGGTTGCACCCTGGGGACCGTGCGGGGTCCCCCCACAGCACGTCCCAACCCCATCCATCCCAAGGAGAAACCGGGTGAGCTGCAGTGATGCTGGCACAGCACACAGTGGGGCCGGGCTGAGCTCAAGGTCGAGGGCTGTGAATTCCTGGTTATTTTTAGCTGTGGGTGAGCAGCTGGAGGAAAACAAGAGGAAGAACAGCTGGGATGCAGAGAGGGAGCAGGGCTGCATCCCGGTGATGGGTCGGATAAATAAGGGTGCAACCTGCAGGGGTGGAAGGGATGGGTGCTGGGGGTGGAGGGGTGGCCCCGTGTGCCATAAAGCTGCAGGAGGATGCAGCCCCGAGAGGATGCTGCAGTGGGGTGGGAGCACCATGGGTCAGCATCCCGTGGGAATGGTGTCTATCCCTCACTCCCAGAGCATCACGGCTGCAGCAGGATGTGCCTCTGAGCGTCACGGCCACGTCGCTGGATGGGGACAGCGGTGTTCATTCTCTGGTGCTAAAGGCGGGATAAGGACAAGCAGGGCATGAGCACCTTCAAAACAGAGGGGTCTCTGTGAAGCTGCCGCCACTGAGCAGCATTTCCACGTCCCAGTCGTGGGCACAGCACCCCAAACCCCCAGCTCAGGTCTGCGTGCAGATCCCGGTGCTGGCAACAGTCCTGGGTGAGGCTGGGAGGTGGCACGGGGGTCCTCCACGGTGCCACCCAGCAGATGTCACTGCTGTGCCCTCTGCAGTCATCCTGTCAGCAAGCAGGTCCACCACCAGCATGGGACCTTCCCTTTAGAAGACTGAAACCAGCATTGGCAGCTGCTAGGCCTGCATTCATGAGACACTCCCATGGGACCTCTATTTGGCAGAACCCAACATCAGCCCTATGCAGCCCCACGGTGGGGGGCAGCTCTCGCCCATCCCCATCCCCTGAGACCCAACTCACAGCCCACGGGCCAAGGCAAGGTGCTGGCAGAGGTCGGTGCACGAGGCAAATCCAGCCCCACAGCAGAGCTGGTGGATCCCCAATCCCATTCCAATGAGTCACCAGCACACAGCTGCTGCCCTGCTCTTTCCCAACCGGGTGCAGCAGGAGGAAGCAACAAGGCTGCTGTTTGCAAACAGCACAGCGTGCACGACAGCATGGCTATACTTAGCTGCCTGCATGCCCTGCACAGCCCGGTCCCTTTGATGTGCAAAGCATGGTGCACGACTTGCTGCTACCCAAGGGAAGAGTGCATGGAGGGATGGGGTTGCCCTGGCTGCATGCAGAGGCAGTAGAGCATCCTTGGCACCGCACAGCTGGCTCCCAGGCACGGTGTGCAGGATGTGCTTGCCTGCCAGCAGCCAGCGTTGGTGTTGGAAACCTCTTGTTTTCAATCTTGTGTGAGCAGGGAACCCAGCCCTGCTCCAGGACATGGTGAAATTACAGCCATACGGAAACAATTAGCAAGGGGGGGATAAGGAAGAAGCTTTGCTTGGTTGGCACATAGAAGAAAACAGAGCCCACGAGGCAGGCCAGCTACCTCTGCGCTGGGAGAAAATAACCACCCTTGTGTGCAAGAAGAGCACGGAGATGTGGCTCACAGCAGGAGGGCTGAGGCTGTGGGGTCTGTTCAAGGATGCAGGGGACAGAATGGACACTGCAGTGCGAGGTCTTTGCCCTCTGCTCATTCCTATGGAGGAGAACTCTTGGTTAGCAGTGCCCCTGCAGCTCCCTGCTCTTCGTTTGGGGCAGGAGCACCCGGGACAGGGGCTTTGCAATGTGGGCTGTGCCTCTCTCACGGGGAAAGTCTGATGCAATTTGCTCTGCTGGCAACTTGCACTCAGTCTTTCATCAGCAACCCTCCGGGAGGGGAGTCCCATGAAGCAAACACCTGGGATGTGCTGGGGAACAGCTAATCCAGGTTTGCCCTGCCCGGCAGCGGAGGAGGAGCAGGGTAGTGAGATGGGGTTCAGGGTGCTGACACCCCCAGCTGGTACAAAGCCAGCTCTAAAGCCCAGGAGGGCAGAAAATCCCACTCTGGAGGGCTCAGAGACCACCTCATGCACCTCAGGGTATGGCACAAAGCCTCACCTCCCACCTGTGGTGTCCCCCTGCCTGAGTCAGCTGGCAGTCCCATGGCCAAAAGGACCAGACCGACCTCCCACCCCAGCCAGGACCGTTCTGTGTCCCATCCACCTCACTCAGGTGGCTGCTTCCATTCCCTGTCCCCTCCCTTGCCCGAGTGCGGGTCGCTTTTGGGGTAGGAAATGATGGATTCCTTCCTTAGTTCCAAGTCTGAATGTTGTTTTTCTTTGTGTGTCTTCTGGTTTTGTTTCTCTTCTTGTGGAAAATTCCCAGCACTCGCCTGTCCTGGAAGCCCAGCGGGGAAGTGAAAGCAAACCCTGTTATTGGATGGGGCTGGAGAGCTGGGAATGGAGCTGACCCCAAGCACACGCCATGTCCCACTGCCAGCCCTTGGCTGAGCCTTTTGCAACAACTGGGTGCCTGCGTGCCATCTCTCAGCTTTCCCTTCCCAGCTCACTGTTTTTTAACTAGCTGCAGAAATCCCAACCCAAACTATGGTTACCCCAGCCTGAACCAGCACAAGTGTTCAATGAAACATCCAGGATCCGGGATCCCCTGTCCTACGTGGATCCTTATCCTGCACGGATCCCCCGCCCTGCATATATATCTCCATCCTACATGGATCCCAATCCTGCACGGATCCCCTGTCCTTCACGGCTCCCCTTCCTTCATGCATCCTTACGGATCCATGGGTTGGCAGTCGGACGAGATGATCTTAGTGATCTTTCCCAACCTTAACAATTCTATCCTACGTGGATCCCCCATCCTACAAGAAAGCCTTGCAGGAGCTGGCATAGGCACAATCAGCAACCCGTGCTGGAGGAGCAGTGGGGTGAGGATCTCTGCGCCATGGGGACACATCCCTCACCTCCTCACGGCCCCAGTGCTGCAGCTGCAGCAGCGCCGTGCCCAGGAGCTCCGTCCGGCTCCCACCCGATAATTATAGCTCAGCTGTTTTTATATCCAGTGTGCTGGTGCAGGAAGGAAGGCGGCGGGGCCACGTAACCCGGCTCCCCACCCCTTCCCCACTTCCCCCTCCCACCCGTGCCCCCGCGTGTGAATTCGGCCCTTGTGACGTTGTGGCACAGCCGGGGGTTTCAGGGCCCAGTTTCTCCTTTCCTGTAAGGGACAACTGTGAGATGTCTGGGATGTCCCCATGCTGCACCTTTCGCAGAGGGGCAGGGCAGACATAGAACCTTCTGAGTGCTCGGCTTGTTTAGGGGTACAGAGGAGCATCCCATCCCCTCAGCCACAAGCTGCTTCCCCATGGGCTGTGCATCCCGCAGGGAGGCAAAACCAAAGGCCACTTCCCAGTGCCACCGAAGCACCCGGGATCATCCCCATCTCCACCCCATTCCCTCCGTTCTCCCTCGGCAATCCCAGCTCGTGTGCCAGGGGTCCAACAGCGCGCAGCGATCTCACATGGCACGCCTGGCTGTAGGAATGAGAACTGCGAGCAGGGAACAGGGATGGGGACAGAGATGGGATGGGTTGTGCCTCTCCCTCGCTGCAGGCCAGCTGCAGCCCAGCCAGCGCCTTCTGGTTTTGTTTGTGCTGTTAGATAACTTCGAAAGCAGAAGCTGGAAGGGCTGGCGGCTGAACAGTTTGTTCTTTCTGGTTCGTGCGCGCCGCTGCCTGCAAACCGCAACGCCTGAGTGCCGCGATGCTGCAACCACAGCCCTGTGGTGTGAGCCAGGGCACGGCCTGTACCCCCCAGCCATCCCTACACAAAGCATCCCGCCGGTGGGGGATCCACCAGGATGCAGGCACAGGATGCTGGGACCCCTGTCCCGGAGGATGAGATCCAACCAGGGATGGAATAACCCCATGGTGGGACGTGTTTGCAGGGGGGATGCTGGGAGATGAAGGGCAGGGGCTCAGTGTCACCAAACACAGGGTGTCCTGGGAGCTGCAGGAGGCAGAGGCAGGAGGAAAGCTGCAGGCTCCGTGCTTTCACTCTGCCTGGGAGGAGGGCATGCTCAGGCTCAGGCTCTGCTTGTGCATCTTCCCACCCAGCGGTGCCCTCCATCCCTTCTGCTCCAGCTGCTAACAGCAGCTCCTTGGGAGCCCTGTGCAAGGAGACCAGAGGAACTGGGAAAAAAAAGACAAACCAAAACAAACAGCACATAGGATTTCAAAGCAGAGAGGTGTCTCTAGAAAGGTTTCCCAACCTCGAGTGCCCTTTGGCTCCCAGCCGTGGGGTCGCAGGGCTGTGGCTGTCCTTGCACAGGGATAAGGAGCGCAGCCCAAGGCGCTGATTCACCGCCATGCACGGCTGTGCTCACAGGGAGGAGCGAGGCAGTGGCACGCAGGGTGAGATAAGGCAGGGAGCTGCAGCACGGCTCACTGCGAGCCCTGTCCTCTGCTCCAGTCCCGCGGGTGCATTTAAGGTCAGGCACAGGAGAGGCTGCATGGATGTGCTGCTCCCAGCCACCTCCCGCCCAGCAGGACGGAGGGCTCGGTACCCACGGGACTGCAGTTCTCACAGGCACACTGTGAGCAGGCGGCTGGGAACAGAGGGATGGCTCCTGGTGAGCAATCTTATTTTTAACTCCCAGTTCCTCTCTTGGTTTTGCTGTTCTCCAAGCCTATAGGTTTTTTCGTCCCCGCTGTTTCAAGGCTGTGCTGGGCCTTTTCCCCATGGCTCAAAGGGGTGCAGCACAAGGGGTCAGAGGGAGAGGAGGGCTGCATAGGACTGGTGGTGCTGGGAAGGCTCCCCAAAGCAAAGCGAGAAGCACGTGCTCTATAGCATCAGCTGCATGCCCACATCCCCCCCAAGCATGCCAGCAACACAAGATCCCACACGTGGTGTGACAGCACATCCTGCACCCCTTGCCATGGGGAAGTGCTGTGCGGGGCAAGGAACGCCCTGAGATTGGGGTCCTGCAGCCCCCAAAATGCCCAGGCTTTGCTCTGCGGAGATGCATGGAGCCCTGGGACACGCCTGAGCACAGATCCCAAAGCTCTGAAAGATCCAGAAGCTGCTGTGGGACGGACGCCCACGGGGACCTCGGCCAGCTCGAACCTTCCAGACCGTCACGCTGAGCCCTGTCCCACAGCACTGCAAGGACTTGGCTTGCACAAGCATCAACCTTTCCCCCTCCCGGGTCACGAGACACAAACAGCCCTGATTGGAAGCTGTTTTTTCCTCTTTTTTTTTTTTTTTTTGCTTTATCAGGATCTTGCTGAGCTAGACGGTGTTCTTGGTGAGTGGGTCATGTTTGCACAGTGGTTTATAAGTGCAATTCCTTATGTAAGAGCACAGGGTTGCTCCAGAGGCTCACCTGGGCAGCACGCATGTGCGTTGCCATCTGCAACATGAGCGCCGTGTGCACCCAGAGAGCATCAGCTCCCATCTCTCAAGGTGCACTGAATGAACGTGAGGATTCACAGCCTCTGCTCAGGGTGTGAAGGGCTGCACGCTCGCCGGCCCGGCTGCCAAGAGCCTGGGTTTGCTCCAGTAACCCAGCTCCTGAAGGTCACTGGCTCAAGGCTGGGCTTGTGTCCCGACTGCCTGTTTTTATTACTGACTGTCCTTATCGTCGTGTGGTGAGAACAGCCCGTCCCAAGCACGCCTGCTGCCTCTTCTGCTGCCTTTTGCCCAAGCTCCGCTTCTCCCCAGCGCCCTGCCGTGTGCCGGTGTCCAGCCTGGCGTCATCGAATGTCACTGCACTGTCACTGCACTGCCACCAGTGCTGGAGCCCTGGGGGAAACTTGTGCGTCAGGAATTGCTGATCTGGCTTTGGGGGATTGACAGGGAACGGGCAGAGGGACTGCAGGGTGGCAAAGTCTGTCTGCAAGGAAGGGGCAAGGCCAGGGAGGAGTGGAAGGGAGGAAGAAAGGGAGGTAAGAGAGAGAGAAACAGGTGGAGAAGAGAAAGAGAAACAGAAAGAGTAACTGAAAGAGATGGAGAGAGTGAAAGCAAGAGGGAAAGAGGGAAGGGAAGGGAAGGGAAGGGAAGGGAAGGG